GGGTGCAGGTTGATAAAGGTGGGTGCATGTTGATAAAGGTGGGTGCAGGTTGATAAAAGTAGGTGCAGGTTGATGAAAGGTGGGTGCAGGTTGATAAAGGTGGGTGCAGGTTGATGAAGGTAGGTGCAGGTCGATAAAGGTAGGTGCAGGTTGATAAAGGTAGGTGCAGGTTGATAAAGGTGAGTGCAGGTTGATGAAAGGTAGTTGCAGGTTGATGAAAGGTAGTTGCAGGTTGATAAACGTAGGTGCAGGTTGATGAAGGTGGGTGTAGGTTGATAAAGGTGAGTGCAGATAGATGAAAGGTAGTTGCAGGTTGATAAACGTAGGTGCAGGTTGATGAAGGTGGGTGCAGGTTGATAAAGGTGAGTGCAGGTAGATGAAAGGTAGTTGCAGGTTGATAAAGGTGGGTGCAGGTTGAAAAAGGTGAGTGTAGGTAGATGAAAGGTAGTTGCAGGTTGATAAAGGTGGGTGCAGGTTGATAAAGGTGGGTGCAGGTTGATAAAGATGGGTGCAGGTTGATAAAAGTAGGTGCAGGTTGATGAAGGTGGGTGCAGGTAGATAAAGGTGAGTGCAGGTTGATAAAGGTGAGTGCAGGTTGATAAAGGTGAGTGCAGGTTGATAAAGGTAGGTGCAGGAGATGAAAGGTAGGTGCAGGTTGATAAAGGTGGGTGCAGGTTGATAAAGGTGGGTGCAGGTTGATAAAAGTAGGTGCAGGTTGATGAAGGTGGGTGCAGGTTGATAAAGGTGAGTGCAGGTTGATAAAGGTGAGTGCAGGTAGATAAAGGTGAGTGCAGGTTGATAAAGGTGAGTGCAGGTTGATAAAGGTGAGTGCAGGTTGATAAAGGTAGGTGCAGGAGATGAAAGGTAGGTGCAGGTTGATAAAGGTAGTTGCAGGTTGATGAAAGGTGGGTGCAGGTTGATAAAGGTGAGTGCAGGTTGATAAAGGTGAGTGCAGGTTGATAAAGGTAGGTGCAGGAGATGAAGCTGATGATTACAGGATCGTATATGAAGCTACAGTAGAGTGTAGTGTAGGAAGAAGTAAAACGTGATAGCTGTGATGGCAATAATAAAACAGGATCTTGTCTTACCTGTACAGCTGTTTGTGATTTAGATAATCCTCTAGTCTTGTGATTTAGATAATCCTCTAGTCTTGTGATTTAGATAATCCTCTAGTCCCCAACAGCGCAGTATCAACTGTGCCGTCTTGACCGTTTCTTCTGTTGATGTGTTTGACCAAAATATGACCTCAATCTACCTGTCGTCTCTGTCAGCCCTCGCACACATCTAAACAATTGTTGTTGTGATTGTGTTGTTTCCGTGTGATACTCACAGCACGCGTGTTTCTGTTGGGTTCACGTCAGCTGATCTACACACGTGTTGTTCCCACACTCCCTGTGTCGTCTGCTTCTCTAGTCACGTGATACGTTCAGCCATGGACCGCTGCTTGTTGATATCAAACCGTCGCCATGCCCCAGTTGTGTCGGTAACAAAACACGATTTGGCAGTTGCATATTTTTTAACCAATGAAAGTGTTTCGCCGAAGGGGCAATGTTTTTTCCAATATAGGTAATAAAAATCAATGGGATGAAGGGTTCTAAAGTTATAGACCTATTGCTTTCGTCTGATCTTCATGTTATTTTATAATGCATGTGTAAATTTAATACACGTAGGGCTAATATAATGTGTACATTTAATATACGTAAGGCTAATATAATATGTAAATTTAATACAAAAACTGAAATAGATGTGGACAGCTGTGGTTGATTAAAGTAATTTACTATTTTATATTCAAGAGGGCGCTACTATGAATACTATGATGATACTTTTAGATGAAAAAATCGTTGAGTAATATTGCAGCACAAAGTAAAATAAATGAATTAGGTTATCGGTTATAACGTTGGGCAATTGAGTTTTGTGAGTTAATGGACTGGAGTACAGCAATCATGTCGCAGTGATGTGTGGTATGTAGGACAGTATAACACATACTGTGATGTGTGGTGTGTGAGAACACCTGCTCTGGTGTGTGGTGTGTGGCTGTGTGAGGACACCTACTCTGGTGTGTGGTGTGTGGTGAGGACCAGTGTTTCTTCCAGACTTTTTTCTCCGGGGGGGCACTTGAAATCTTCGGGGGGCGGTAAACTTTCTTCGGGGGGGCGGACACTGCTAAAAGTATATATTTTCTATATAAATTATATAAATTTCACTTCGTTCGGGGGGAGCGGTAAAAAATTTTCGGGGGGGCTTTGCCCCCCCGAAGAGATGCCTGGAAGAAACTCTGGTGAGGACACCTGTAACCTACTCTACTGTATCAAGCTTACGCCAGGTGAGTTGTCCCCAACTATCGGCTGCCCGTGTGAAGCGACAGATGGTGCTAGGGAAATGAGAACTCTGTACAATAAGAGATCACAATTTACACATTTTTCATGCGGACCGGCTAGATAGGAAAAATTTTGTTGACAAAAACATGTGGTTTGGGTTGTTGTATGTCGGCGTGTGGGTTGGGTTGTTGTTGTATGTCGGTGTAGTACTTGTGTTGTGTGGGAATGTATGAACCGACGCCTTATATTTAAAATAAACTCTTTCATTTCATTACAGAACACTAGCGTACCCGTCGTGTGTTGCTGCGACCTAAGAAAATAAATGCGAAGACACCCGTCCTTATAACACTAAATGTACACACTGTCTTTCTTCTCATTGAAAAAAAAACCCATTTAAAAGTGGGTTTTTTAAGTTTAATGTATTCATTTGTGTGGGTCACAAGCAGTTGTCTCATAAGGGACTCGTAGACCTAAATATAAATCAAACTGAGGCACCAGAGTAAGAGGGTTTTTTCAACGCGTTTCCAATTGTGTATTTTAAAAGTGTTTTTTTTCCCTAGAGCCGGGTTATTTAAATGTAAACAATGTACACAATATTTCTTGGGTTGTGATTGTTGGTACGCGGCCATGTCCGTACTACCGCCCAGACGCCACATACTGAGTAGAACAAAATTCTTGGGCGTAGGTTGACTACCCTCGGCAATGGTGAGGTAGGGCACCCTTCAATGACCACCAAAATGGTGAGTTAGGGCACCCTTCAACGACCACCAAAATTCCAGGGGCGTCTGGTGGCGCTTTTGGGAGATTGTTACCACTGGCAACTAAACTTTTGAGTGGGATGATCTACTGAGAGCTAAGCTTTTGTGTGGGTTGATACATTGATAATCTTTTGGCTTAGTTGAACTCTAACCAAACTGCTAGCGGTCTAAAACGTGGCTTAATCTCTTAAAGCCAGAAATCAGAAACACGGAGAATTTATTCGGTCAGACACACTCGGTTTTGGTCACAGCGGTGAATGTAATCAGACAATCAAGCTTAGCCGGTTAAGTGATTCAATGATTTCTAATCACGGCTGTAAAATATACAAGCACTAGTAAAAAATGTACCAGCCGTGTAATCAGCTGTTGTAGTGTAGGGGTTGTAGGTTGGGAGGGTGGGGGCGACGGGGGGGGGGGGGGTAGGGGTTATAGGTTGGGAGGATGGGGGCGACGGCTGGGCTAGTAGATCTGAAAACTGTTAAAGTAACGGCAGTGTTGGAGGTGGGCGGAATGCTTTTGTTGTGGTGGTAAGCCTGCACAGATGTTCTGGGTAGGGGGGAGGGAGGGAGGGGGATATTGGCATGACGAAATAATTGGTCGATACGATTTTATTGAGGTAATTATTACCAGCGTGAAATATAAAAAAAATGTTTGCGTATTAGCAGGTGTTTCATCATAATATTGACGTAGCGCAGAATGTTATTCTAATGCTTAAAACAATTATTGACGTATGATTGATCTAATGTTGAAAAAACGTTGAAGTTTTACTACTGTAAAGGTCCCAGAATATTAATGTATTGTTGTGTTATTTTAATGTTGAAAAACTTAGACATGTGATATCCTAATGTTGAAATAACAGAGACACGTGTATCCTAATGTTAAAACAATATTGATGAATTACCATATTATGTTATTCCGATGTTGATTTCATAAGTGTAATTTGTAGGAGTCAACAAAATAAATCAACTAATACATCGAGTTCATATTTGAGACATGTATACTAACATATCAAGAAAACATTCGAATCAAGTTGATGTTAAATGAAAACATTTCCTTTGTACTACGGAATGTTTTCTTTTCTAGACATGTATCGCAGGCCTAGTTGTCGCCAGTGTGGTCTGTAAAAGTGGATGAAAAAGTTGTATTGACGTTAGGCTACAGCATAATTTTATGAGGGAATGACTCAGACGTGTGCCCCCCCCCCCCCCCCCCCAAATATAATCTGAACACGACTTACTTTTATCGACTAGTTTTATCAAGCAAGAAACATAAGATAAAAAAACTACAATTGTTTGGTATTCCAAAAGTATAAAACAAGAGTGTATTAACACGGCTAGACTTAAAAGAAACAAAACAAAGTTTTACAAGGCAACCTGGTTTAGATATTTGTCGCGCCGTTCCTACACAAGGGAGACAACGAAGTGTATACTGTTTGTAAGTTAATTTTATTTTGGTTGTCTCCCTTACATCAGTCTCTGTGGTAAGACGTGCTCAAATGATATTGACAGTACTGTAGTTAAATAACATTCAAGTCTGTTTAGGAAAAACATTTAATAAAAAAATAAACAAACAACAACCCCAACTTGGACTTCGATGCCTTCTCCAATGGCTATTAATACCGCACCACCCAGGAAAGTACGAAATACATGGTGTAGGGGTAACTATTAGATTATATTAGGTAACAAGATCCCATAGGCCCTAAATACTGAACCTTGTAAAAGCTGAGTCATCTATTAGTAGGCCCTAAATACTGAACATAGTAGAAAGACCAGACCACCTTCATGTTTGAACAAAGAAACAAATCAGGTGCGGACTAAACCAAATATACATTTTATTATAAATACAAATTGACAGCAAATCAACAAGACCCACAAGCTTGAAGTCTGTTTGCTAAGACACAAACTAAATGGAAGAAACAAGTATCTGCAGACAGCATTGTTTTATTTGACAATTTAGTGTGTTCACATGCCAGGCTACTGTAAAGATGTTTCAAGTCACCGATGTTCTAGCATACTAGTTTCTCTAACTTGCGACTGGGAAGCACCCCTAAGCTTAACAATGGGAGGTACCCAAACCTTGGGACTAGCCCTCATCTAGACAACCATGGGCTCGCCTCAACTTGGCATGACAGGGTGGTCAGGTACCTACACCATCAGACTAGCTGGCACCCCACTACTTCAGTGTAGAGATCTAATGCTGGAGTATGAGACAAGGGCCATAACCTTGTCTGGCACAGAGACTGGAGACAGCTGATTCCACAAGTTGAGCAATGGGAAACCAAGTTCACCTCTCTACTGAAGCTCACCCCCACAAACTGACAACAGTTGGAGATAAAAATAGCTACGTTTTCATTGGTGGAAACTTTGAACATGGCTGATGACAAACTGACTAGACCAGCTGGGTGACACTCATCCAATCATCAATCATGTTGATATCACATACACACACATTCACCACAATCACACACAGATTCCCACACAAACAAACATCAATTCCTCAATAATACATGTCAACAATAAAACAATCATACACCAATCTAGCATCTATTCTATAAAGATACTCCTCAACAATCAAGACCAATATGAAAAAATGCAGTAAAATATAAACATCTTAACAAAAACTAACAACAATGACATTGGAATAGAATACTTTCATTCAAAAGGTAACAAGCAGTACAAATAAATAGCTATTTGACATGGATGAAGCAGAAGGCTTAGTTTATATTGAATTAAACCAGTTCATATGGTGGCCCACAAAATACTTAGTTGACAGCTTGCCTCAAAAGGATGAGGCATCCAGCATAATTGATCAAGCACAATAAGTATGTAGTTCTAAATGGTTACCACTAGCCTATTAATGTGTGGAGGTCTAATTTAGTCTTGTTTTCCCCTAGTTTATTAATGGGTGGGGTCCCAATTTAATCTTGTTACCATTAGCTTCATGGTGGGTGGGTTATATCCTTATCATGTTACTGTATTAGACTACTGTTGTGCAATATTCCGTACCATAATTAACTTCTCACTGCAATGGTAAGGGTAAATATTAATTTTTAGAGTTGCACTCAATGCATATTTTTCTATTATATCATGCTAAAAAAACTGTACATAATTCAGTGATTAAACATTATAAAAAATACTCTGAATATAAAAGAAAGGGGTAACAAAAGTTGACAATTTAAAATATTATGAAATGCCCACCAAGACAGCAGTGCCAATAGAAAATGTGCATGAAAAAGAAACATTATAAAAAAAAAACTGGAATGTTCTGACAGTTCCAGAAAGTTGCAGCACAGCCATTAGGTCAGGGGCGGTCATTGTGGTCAGATCTTTCAGTAGGTGTCCTTGGGTGTTACATTGATCATTTCAGCTGATCTGGAGAGAGAAAGACAGGCTCTAATGAGTACCAGCCCCACAGGACTAGGGTCAAGCCAATGGCTCATCTAACTATGTCTTTTTATCTGCCTTTATACAAGTATCTCATTACAACTGGCTTGCATCAGTCATAATGTGGTTTCTCTAGTAAAATTATTATTGGCTTGTCAGTCATAATGTGGTTTCTCCAGTAAAATTACCCTGATAATATTTCTAGCATAAAGTAAACATACAAACGTTCCTGTCTTTTTACTACTATCCAACATATATTTTTACCATATCACTAACCAATACCATATATTTTTACCATATCACTAACCAATACCATATATTTTTACCATATCACTAACCAATAATACATATTTTAACCATATCACTAACCAATACCATATATTTTTACCATATCACTAACCAATAATACATATTTTAACCATATCACTAACCAATAACATATATTTTTACCATATCACTAACCAATAATATATATTTTTACCATATCACTAACCAATAATATATATTTTTACCATATCACTAACCAATAATATATATTTTTACCATATCACTAACCAATAACATATATTTTTACCATATCACTAACCAATAATATATATTTTTACCATATCACTAACCAATAATATATATTTTTACCATATCACTAACCAATAACATATTTTTTTATCGTATTACTATCAAACTATTTTTTTATAATTTTTCTATCCAAACTATATTTTTACTATATCACAATCCCACAAATATATTGTTATCATATCACTGTACAACATTTCATCATAAGCATAAACAATAATTTAAAACCTGGAGAAAAAGAAATGAATTCAACTTTAAAATAAAACAATTTTGCACATTTTCTCTAATTGATATAAAAATAAAGCGTCAGCATAAAGCCAATTATTGATGAGATAAAACAGATGAGTCCAATGGCCAAAGGTGCTAAGCCAGAGTGACAAACTGAACAAAGAACCCAAACACTTGAACATCTGATAAAGTGCCAACACAATATACCTTCTTGTCTGAAGTGTCTGATGGTGGTACACTTAAGGATGTTCTACTGGTTTCTCTACTACAGGAAGGGCATTTAGAAAACATTCATTTTTTTAGCCATCTCATTCTAAGCAGGGGACCACACTTTCAAAGGGAATCTACTCTTTTTGTATAACTTGCTAAGCTGGGTCATTTATTTTTTTTTTTTAAGAAAACAAAAGATAAAAGAAGCAACTACATCTAGTTTCACCCACAAGACAGTATTTTACTTAGGCTAACTTAACCATTACTAGATCTAGTTTCACCCACAAGACAGTATTTTACTTAGGCTAACTAAACCATTACTAGATCTAGTTTCACCCACAAGACAGTATTTTACTTAGGCTAACTTAACCATTACTAGATCTAGTGTCACCCACAAGACAGTATTTTACTTAGGCTAACTTAACCATTACTAGAACCAGACCCAGACAAAAAAATAAAATGTCCCCGAAGCAACATTTCAAGTAGCATTGAAAGTGAGCTCCTCTGGTTATAATCACATTTTTATACACAACTTATGTTTGTCCTTTCACAATACACAAGTTCCATATGATGGGGAATAAGAAACACTGTCTGATGATCTGAATGGTCATGTCACATGATGGCATTAACAGGCTATTGCAGATGTGTTACATAGTGATGGAACAATTTGGATCAACACGACTAAACATATTTGTCATAAGTGGACTGGATAGGTCATAAACTACACTAGTCATATTTGACTGCAAACGTCAAAAGTTGACTGAACTAGTCATTAGGTGACTGCAGACATGTCAAAAGCTGCCAGTCAAAAGATGACAGAACATGTCGGATGAGGGAGACGACTGGTTAGATGAAGAATAAAACAACACTAGCAGGGTGGTGCAATTTTGACCAGCTCCTGCTAATGTTAGCCTTTTCCTGATCAATGATTGCAAGACCCTCCTACTGTTATTTTATTGCCTCAGTGATCAACTGACACACTCCAGGTCAAAAGAAAAAATGAGCAAAAGACTGCATCAAAATTGCACCATGTGACCTGCCAGCCCAACTTACAAGCTACTAAACCACGCGCTCCTGGGTCTGGTCAAGGTACGGGACTGTCTGGGTCTTCTGATGGGTTGCCAGCAGAATCAAACATGACCCACTTAACAACATGCTCAGCAGGAATGGGGCGGTCTTCCCGCAAGTTCCACAACAACCACTTGTTGATCTGGTTGTCAGTGATCAGCTGTCTATCCGTGCTGGTCAAGTTGGCCGCGTTTAGCCAACCTGGCAGCTGTCTATCCGTGCTGGTCAAGTTGGACTGGTCAAGCCAACCTGGCAGCTGTCTATCCGTGCTGGTCAAGTTGGCCGACCCCCCTAGGACAGCATACATGTTATTGTTACTGGCTGCCTGGCTCTCTAAACCATCAACATTTAAAGCAGAAAGCTCATCAATGCTTTTGTCTAGGGTCAGTTGTTGCAGAACCTTGTCTTCTTGCTGTTCATCAAAGTTGAATGTCTGCAGATGGGCCCCCAGCTGGGGTTGCTCCTCAAGCAGCAGATACAAGGAGGAGTGTGAGGCCCTGACGTAGTGGCTGCGCCTTGAACTCCTGCCACTCATCTCCCCACTGTCCAGCTGCTCTGATGAAATGTTCCTTAAACTCATGACACTGCTAGAGGCCTCCTCTGACAAAGATGGTGTGTGCAGCTGGTCCATGGCACTTATTCTATTAGACTTCTTCCTGGAGATATTTTTGCTGACCTGAATTCCCCTGGAGACCCATGAATCAGAGGTTCTGCTGCTGGGGTAGGTGGTCGCGTAGCTGTAGGCAGAGCCAGCATCTGAATCCACTGGACTCAGGGGGTCAAGCACCTTGCCCTCTGTGTCAGAATCTGGCACCGCTGGCCTGACAGACAGCCTGGAGCTGTCAATCTGCAGCTCCCGCAGCCGCTGGGCCAGAATGCTGGAGTTGAGGCCGCTGTACACGCTGCCCACCTTGGAGCTGTGCTGATGTAGTCTCCTGACAGATGGGGGTCCTGAGGATTTTTTGGAGCTTGCGTGGTTTGTCCTAGTGACACTTCTACTGACTGGCTGGACAAAGCCAACGTACGTGTTCTGTGACTGTGTGGCCAGCTTGTTAGCCATCTCCTGGGTCACCGTAATATTAGGGACACGTGGCCTGCTGGACGACTCACTCGGCCCAGATCTCTTGATCAATGGAGCAGAGGGACTGCTTATCTCTGGTGCTTCCTCCTCCTCACTCACACTTTCCTTCACTCCCCTGCTCCGCTTCTTTTTTGAAGTGAAAAACCATGAGACAACATCGGTCCTAGTTCTGCCATCAGAACTTGCAATGTTACTGAACTTGGTGGACACGTAGTACTCACTGAAATACCTTTCATCCTCCAGGCTTGCCAAGAGGCTGAGCACAAGAGGAGTTACAAGAGTTGGTCAATCCATGGCAAACCACATGATGCAACATGCACCAGACAAGACAGACAGTCAAATACAGCATGGTGAAATCACCTAGAGTCAATGCAACTACCAAAACAAAACTTGAAGCTTAGAAAGGCTCTGTATAGAGGTTTTATATAGAAAAAATATATTTTAAAAACTAATATAAGGTAAGTTAGTGAAAAAATATATAAAAAATTACAAGCAGTACAAGCTAAAAAAAAATGTTATAAGAAAAAATAAAATTAAATAAAAAGTTATACAATGAGATAACATGTCTATATCTACAATATAGGTCAACAAAAACAAAAGTACCCATAGCCCATAAAAAATGAAATTGCTTAGTAGAATAAGCAATGAGAGTTTGGGCTAGGCTACATACCAGTGGCATCAGTCAGGATACTGGCCTCTACACTAGACCACAGACAAGTGGAGTCAATGACATGCTTACAATCTATGACACTACACAAGCACACACTAAACTTTAACACATGCCCTATCATTCAGAAGCCTCAAACCAGACCACTTACTCATTGCCCAACCCACCATACAGAAAACCTTCAATGCACAAGTCCCCATACAGAACCCCACTAACCCAACGCACTTACTTCTTGCCCCACCCATCACACAGAACACTCAGGTCCCCATACAAAACCCCCAACACACAAGCCCCATACAGAACCTCCAACACACAAGCCCCATATACAGAACCTCCAACACACAAGCTCCATACAGAACCTCCAACACACAAGCCCCATACAGAACCTCCAACACACAAGCCCCATACAAAACCTCCAACACACAAGCCCCATATACAGAACCTCCAACACACAAGCCCCATACAGAACCTCCAACACACAAACCCCTATACAGAACCTCTAACACACAAGCCCCATACAGAACCCCACAAATGTAAAAGCACTTACTTCTTGCCCCACTTGATGTGAATGATAAGAAAAATGACTCCCAGCACTATGCACAGAGATCCCACCACAATGTAGGCAATGCCCAGGAAATTATTTTTGCCACCCAACCAGGAGGTGGTGGAGATGATTAAACTTTTAGTGCCATCAAAGCCAACGACAGGGTACCCTATGGAAGGTAGAAGCCATCTGAGTTACAGTTTATATATACAGTTTCTATACCATCATTTCTGCAATGCTCTAGTAGTTCTTACTGATATCTATCCCATAATTTCTGTCTACCCACAAATACTGTAGCTGTACTAATATGATAAGGGATGGAGTAGTCTTGTGGTAGAGAGCTGGACTGCTAACTGGGAAGTCTTGAGTTTGAATCCGGGTTCAAGTCAGTAGATCGTCCCTGAGTCCACCCAACTTTGATGGGTACCTAACTCACGTTAAGGAAAGTAAAGGCGGCTGGGCATAGTGCTGACAACACTATCTCTTCATATGCCGAGGTCACAGAAACAAGTGAACTCTACTTCACTTGCCCTATAGACCGTCAGGTTTGAAAAGGAACTTTACTAATATGATAACTATCCCATAATTTCTGTCTACCTATAATACTGTAGCTGTACCTACTATGATAACTATTTCATAATTTCTGTCTTCCCACAATACTGTAACTGTACCTACTATGATAACTATCCCATAATTTCTGTCTACCCACAATACTGTAACTGTACCTACTATGATAACTATCCCATAATTTCTGTCTACCCACAATACTGTAACTGTACCTACTATGATAACTATCCCATAATTTCTGTCTACCCACAATACTGTAACTGTACCTACTATAACTGATATCTATCCTGTATGTGCCAGAGGGCAACCCTTTGCCAAACTCAGGGATGGTGTGATTGATGCGGCGGTACAGTTTTCTGAAGGTGGGGAGCGCCGCAGTCCTCATCCACACAATCAGATCTTCATTCTCGTACCCATTGTTTGCCTCGTTCTCAGGGTCGAGGTTGGTTACATTTATATTCCAGTTGGGTGGCTTCACAAAGTTTGCCCAGGCTGTAACAGAAGTTTTCTTTACATTGTGTGTAAGAAAATTATTTAACTAAGTAAAACTGTTTATATTTGAATTGTACCTGGATGGCACCATAAGTGTGTACTCACCATCAGGACCTGTTGGATTGTTGAACTTGACATTCTTGTCTGAAACCCAGGCTATGCCCGTCTTTATCAGGCCCACGGGAACATCTTGAGCATCCTCTTTGATGTAGGTGATTGTGAACGAATCTGTTGACAGACAGAGTGTTGAGTTTACAACACAATCAACACATGAGTTCAAAGATATCAAGACAAGAAAAGTTCAGAAAGAAAATACACATACCATTGAAAAGGCTGTTGGCTATAGCACCACAAGGAGCATAACCATAAGTGGTTTTGTTAATGGTGGTGTACTTGTAGGGATCACAGTCATCATTCAGGCTGCCAGGGGATTTACTGTCACCATGGAGCTGGTCATCATCTCTTGACCGCACATAGCGACGATGGTTTTGATAGTAATTGGTCAAGCCATAGTACACATACACAGATTTCTGTGGAGTAACACATCACTTACAGTGGACGTTTGAGGTTTATTTTAAACTACAGTCTAAGGTAGGATAGAATATTTTAGTTTTATAATATTATCTATAGTAACAACTTAACAATAAAAAGTTTATTTTTATATTTATATACATTTTTTATAACAAATATAAAATACATTTTATATCTCTACTATTTATACATGCCAATCCCCAATCATTACATTTGAAACACATTTTTTCATTCTATCATAAACATTATTTAACGAGAAAAATGGCCCGTTGAGGAAGGATACACCGGGCGCTAGGTTGATAGTGCTGTCTCTTTTCTCTAAACTAAAACCAACCCATCCCACACACACACACCACCCCCCACCCCCACCCCCACCCCCCCCCCACCCCCACCCACCCACCCCCACCGCCCAAAAAAACATGCCTACCGTCCCATTCAACGAAATATAATTATATACTTTTTCCAGTGTCCGCCCCCTCCCCGAAAATTCTACCCCCGCCCCCAAAAATTTCAAGTACCCCCACTCCTCTCCGGGGAGGAAAAAGTCTGAAAGAAACACTGGTGTCGCGCTTAGCCACTACCCGAAGAATTGCATTAAAGAAATTGCGAGAAAACCACTTTTTAGATTAGACACATTAATTAGGCGGTAATTTTATTATAGAGTATCGATGAGGAAACCACCCCTACCCCCCCACCCCCCCCCCCCCCACAAAAACATGTCTACCGTCCCATTCAACGAAATATAATTATATACTTTTTCCAGTGTCCGCCCCCCTCCCCGAAAATTCTACCCCCGCCCCCGAAAATTTCAATTACCCCCACCCCTCTCCGGGGAGGAAAAAGTCTGAAAGAAACACTGGTGTCGCGCTTAGCCACTACCCGAAGAATTGCATTAAAGAAATTGCAAGAAAACCACTTTTTAGATTAGACACATTAATTAGGCGGTAATTTTATTATAGAGTATCGATGAAGAAATTTCTTTTGAGTTGGGGAGGGGGGGGGGGGGGGGGGCTCAGACGTTCTTACGCGTGGGGTGGGGCTTCGCCCCTACCCGAAGAATTGTATGCAAGAAACTCTTCACGCAAACCATTAAGATTAGACAACATTTCCTTTTTTTCAATGTTAACGCGATAATCAATGACGTCATATAACTGTGAGCACTCTCTGGGTTTGAGATTATTTTCTACTCTGTGCTAAATGTGTCGACGTCATATTTCGTTTTTCGAATTACTGTGCATGTTTTTATTTTGCTTGTGTTTTCTCTAGAGCGTTCTTGTCAGATAGAATTTTTTCTTATGTTTTCTCTAGAGCGTTCTTGTCAGACAGAGCGTTCTTGTCAGATAGATAGATACATACACAGACAGCGAAACTATTATTATAGATAGTTATTTTTAGAATGCTTTCTACCCTTTAAGAAAAAAAAATGTGCCCACCTCAAAGTAATCTGAAAGGGTTATGTTATAGGTACAGTTACAAGTCAGCCCTGTGTTGTTCTCAGTTTTAAAAAACTCAGCGCAGGTCTGGGAACCATTTTCCATGTGACAGTTGGTGTAGTCTAGCGAATACTCTTTTACCTGGAATCAAATATTTTTAGCTTCACATGTAAGGAATAAACACACTGTGATACACATAGATGTATGATGTACAACAGAAGTGGACCGAGATAACTGCTTTAGGTATTTCATCTGCACAGTAGTTTTGCTATTAACACACAAAAACAGAAGACATTTTTTAAATAACATCAAATTCCAGACTTTTTAAACAAACCCCTAAACTAGTGATGTAAAAGCCATTTTTAAATAGGAAATTCCAAATGTCTCCAGACATTGCATGAACCCTACGACTACTACATATATTAATATAAAAATAAAGTTAGGCAAGTGCCTGGTATTTGAGTGCATGTTTGTTGAGCACAGGGCTGATCAAAGCAAGTGTTTGTAAGTGTAAATGGCCATGTTCAAATACTCAGGAAACTCAATGAATGGAAGAAAGGTAGCCCATTGTTGATGCAGACATATTTCAGTGAACAACTTACATTATTAGATGTGATGAGCAGAGCAACTCCTAAGGGAATAAATGCCAGACCTATGGCAAAGAAGGCTGGTAGGACAGTGCTGGCAGTCAGAATGGGCTGCCATGCTGGGAGATTTTGTTGCTTAAACTTGGTTTCTAGAAATGTTAAGCAACTTGTATTAGGAATACAGCAAAAGTAAAGTGAATTATTGTACTTTAAAGACATTTTCTGTTTAAAAAAGTTAATTGTACTTAGCAAAATAAATACTCCTTTTTTATTCTTTTTAAATCTTTCTTTAAAGTGATCATATTATAATATGAAAAATAATAACATAATTTTAGGCAATTGAGCTATATTCATATTGAACTTTCTCTAGCCAAATTGACAGAAAATCATTTTTTCTAAGTTTGCCTATTTCACCCTACCTAAAATTTTAACAATTAAAATAATTGATTAAAATGATGCAACTATATAGTTTCCAATGTAATCTGTTAATGATCTAATTGCTTATGTTTTCAATTAAACTATCATTAAAATGGTATTGGATAGTGAGAATTAATTTCTCTAAAGAATAATAATGTAATGTATTAATTTAGGTCTGCTCTTGTTAAGTAGCCTAATATAGGCTACTTGTAAAAAAAATGTGGAGCAAAAAAAAAAACCACATCATTCACTGTTTGTGCTTATAGTAATAGCTGAGAAACGGGTCTGCAATAAAAAAAAAATTGCCGGTATCCTTCCCCCCCCCCTCACAGACACACACACAACACGGTGAATGGGTCACTGTGAGGTCATAGTAGTCTAGACTTCAGTATGCCTGTTTAATACGTCATAACATGAACTGTGCTGTGACTTATACCCCTCTCCCACCCTCCTTACCAAGCAGTACCAACTACCCACTTGGGGTCACGGTGAGTTCACACAAGTGACCGATGTTACAAGGAGGGGCGGGGTAGTCTAACTTTAATCGTCAGCATTTGCAAAGATTTCAAAAACAGTTTAATGGAAGGTGGATTAAAATTAAAGGGGTCACCCATTTATGACGTCCACATGGAGGGGGGAAGGGGTCGGAAGAGTTTGTGATTACATTCTAAAACAAACATAAAACGTGTATCTTGCGAGTAGAAAGTAAAATTAAGACGACTGTGCTGGTGTTTTAAAAACCATCACAGCGTGTAAACAAAACACGGTATTTATATTTGCCCTAACATTATTGCAAGAGCAGGTCGTCACACTTTTTGAAACCCTCCTCCCGACTTTCCGGAGTGTGACGTCATTTATAGACGACTCCTAAATAAAAATAGTACCTCTTTGTTAAGCTGAAGCAAACAGAAATACAGCTATGAACCAAAGGAGGCCTTGCGACTTATTCATCTTATAAATGCTAATATTAATCTAAAGTAAGTGAACGCGTGTGGACAGAGGGCGGGGGGGGGGGGGGGGGAGTGGGGAAAGGGGGAGGGAGGGGGGTCTAAAATCCGAAAAATTGTTGTAAGTCATAAATGGATGACGCCTTACAGACTGATAAATTATATCTAAACTACCACTCACACATCTCCCCCATAATTTTTGTTATGACTGCCTGCAAGCAAACTCAAACGATGAAAAAATAGCGGGTAAAATCGAGAGCCTAACAATTCTGAGGGCGACATTCTTTCATTAAATGACAATTTTAAGTACTTGTAACACATTTACACGGGGTCAGTCGTGCCACAAAATATCTCTTCCCTCCCTTCCCCTCTTCTCCCAATGACGTAGTAACTGAGCAATCTTTTTTTTTCTGCGAACCAGCGAAAAAACGCCATAACACAGTGTAAACCCGCGCGATAGCGCGGGGGAAAAAATTGGAGTAAATTCACTTAAAAATAGCAATTTTTGATATGGAAAATATGGACTACGAAGTTTTGTTTCTAAAACTAGATTCCAGACTTTTTCCAGACTTTTAAAAAATACAGCCCAAAAACTAGCGATTTTCCAGACTTTTTTAAGTCTTAAATTCACTTTTCTAAATTCAAGACTTTTTCCAGACTTTCCAGACTGCGTACGAACCCTGTGAAAAAATATACAAACTAACTATTTCTTATTAAAAACACATTTTTTTGTTCCAAATTTTAAGGCACAATATGATTGAAATGGAAGATCATGTATTTCTATAAAATATCCCTTTCAAATAAAAATGAGATTTTGCAAGACTCTCTCTGTCCACAAAATTATTGAGGCTATAAGATAAGTATCTAGACCAGTATATGAAGAATATAATGATATGGACTTGTGTTGAAAAAATATGTTGGATGTATTAAATGTATAGGCCTGAACTATAAACTTTTATGAACTCACAATGACCCCAAAACTGAGGCCAACACCATTTCAAATTGCCCAAGCTATGATGTATGTTGATAATTAAAGTCAATATGAACTCAGGACGAACCCTCCACCGTGTAGCCATTTTTCTCCCGCTGACAATCACACGCTATTTAATTGGAACTGTCCTAATGCTTTTTTTTTTTTAGGCCTACCTTTTCTACTTTTCTAATTAAAACTCACATTCATAAAAAAAATAAGTAGGCCTAGATCTAGCTCTAATTCTTGAGTTTTCCTAATGTTTGTGTGTGTTTCAGTTGAGTTTATAATAAAATATGCTCAACTGGAGATGAACGTGAAGTGGGGAATAAAATTAGCTAAAATGGAGTTTTACCAATGCAGAGTTTAAATTTACTTTCCGTTAGTTTGTATGTGAAACTGTCATTAAATAGCACCTAATGGGAATTGGGAGTTTCGCTGCATGAGCCCAAATAAATATGGGCCGATGCTAGCCGGAAAAAGATACGCATGCGCCATGGAGAGAAACTACAACTTGCCATCGCGGTGATGTTTTCAATGGTACTGTGCATGTGTGTGTTTACAACCGCAGAACCCTAACACCAACCCTAATCCTATCCCTAACCCTAGACCACTGTGCATGCGCAGAGCTAACTTTTGCCGACTAAGTGGAGACGTTGGGGAGAAAAATCTTCTTCCGAGTAGTCACTTCAATAAATATGAGCTCTAGATCTAAATTTACTATTGCCAGTGCTGGACTGTGAACTCACTGAACTGTGAGTGAACCAGATTTAGATCTAGAAAACTAGAATCTAGATTCTATATCTATCTAATGGACACCAGTGAGTTGACGAAAATCCTTCCGTAATGTTGTTGACATGGAGTAAAAATGTGCTTTTTTAGATTTAGGACCGTAAAAATAATAAAAGATAAAATTTTATTAAAAACTTAAGCCTAAAATTAATTCAGAAATATAATATTTTTAGAATCAATGCTATACAAGTTGCAGATACAGAGAACTTGAAAATAATTTTTTGAGTTTAAGGCTAGGCCTACTTTTATATTTAATTTCATCGAGCCTAAGTTATAACCCGATGTTTCACTTTCGTAAGACAAACATTGATTGGCTGTACAGGAACTCCGTGATCGATTTCTGACAGCCCCACTTTATAGTTTTTTTTGTTTACAAAACTTTGCAGATCAAGTTTTTAAATAACAATGCAAATTTAAACCCCATGACCTAGTTTTTCTATTTTAAGCTTACAATGTGTACAATAACATTTATGGCGGCCTATTGAATAGCAGGATGCCATTGTTTATGTCGCCACTACATGTGAAAACCAAATTGTTTTTGCTTTTTTTTTAAATTTTATTTAGTTAGGCCTACTGAAAATAGTAAAAACATCAAATAGGGCCTAGGCCTACATCCAATCTTTAGTATTTTTTTTAGTAAAGTCCGAAAAAAACCAGACAGGCAGGATTTTATACAAATTAAATTGTAACTACGCAGAGCATGATTTTTAAATTAATTTATGAACCTCTCAAATACCTTTGAGACTTTTCTCGCTGGCGTCCTTTAGGGTTTAGAGTTTAGGGCTTAGGCCCTGCCTATTCAGGGTATTCTAATCTAAAATTATTTTTGGTAATCTATCGTTTTGGGTACGTAAAATCGCCCGCGGCTATTAATGTACGAAAAAGTTACCTCATTGTCAAGGCTTTAGTAGAAGTATATTGTGATATATTTGTGTCAAATATTATAGATAAATGAATAATAAACCTAAATCAATGGCTAAATATATCAATATATGCCAGAAATTAACTTTAAACAGCAGTGTTTGCGAGCAAGATTTGCTATATAAACAGCAGCCATTTGTAAAATAGAGTGACTTCCGCCTGTCTCGCGCTATATCCGCTATAAAAAAAACTTAAACAAGATGGCTGCTATAGTAAATGAGCATGGTTGCATCTGTTGGAAACATCGCTAGTCTTCATTTATTACTGAAAAGTTTTAATTCAATTGTTTAAAAACAGGTATATAAATGAAAGAAGGAAACATTTTTGTATTTTTCAAAACATAAATCCTCCTCAAAATGTGAAATAATTATTAAAATTTAAGGAGTCACCTGTTTTTCACATTACTAGTCGCGGGCGATTTTACGTACCCAAAACGATAGATTACCTTATTTTTTTGCTGATGTGATTATCTCTAGAAGTAGAATATCTAAATTATTCTAAATTTAGCTAGTCTAGACCTAGATCTATCTATTTAGATCTAAATACATTAGGTTTTTCCTAAGTATGATTATAAATTTAGTTTCATGGTAATACAGTTTTAAGTCTTACCTTTGGGGCGTTTTGTTTTAAGTTTCTCTTCCTCGGTTACTACAGTAGTTTCATCACTGTTTTGTAGGTTCGTCGCCATTGCTAAGCAAGAAACAGCAACGCCATCTGTTGATATGTATTTAAAAAGTGTGAATTTCAGGATGTAGGCATTGGTTATAAAAGAACCGAAACAAATCTTGTTAAACAAAAAATCGCACATAGATCTAGGCCTACCTAGACTTTAGTGCTAGTGAGCTACAGATCTAGATTCTAGATCTAGTATACGAAGCTTTATAAATTTTAATACTAGATCTAACTGACTTTCTGACTTGATTTTCAGTTTTTTTCATGAAAGGAAACCACAATTAATTTTCTTTTTATTAGTAGATCTATGTATTGACAAAAAAAAAACCTTTAAATTAGTAGATGTAGCATAATTTTAATTTCTATTCTGTTTTAAAAAAAAATAGAATAAATCTAATAGTGGTGTTGTGATTCAGGGTCAAGCATTCTCTGTTATGTATTTCCTTTTTTTTCTTACTGCTACGAACCGTGTGACTTGGAGCAAAACGCGACTGGAACGTTTTAGGTTTCTTTCAGGTATTTTTCTCCGGGTAGAAGAAGAACTCAAAATTTCCGAGGGGTGGGGGAAAGAATTTTTTAACACAGTTCGAACAAGTTAGACAACTATTGAAGTATTTGATCTGTTATTATTTTTTGGATTATGTCCCTTAGTAATTGCAGTATAATATCTCTTTATTTAGTTGTTGAGAAGGAAAAGATAAGCAATAATAAAAAAAAAATACTTAAAAAAAACTTTTAAAAAAACCACGTTTTTCTTGTGGACTAAAAAGTAGAAAATAAATTTTCATACATTTGATGACAGAAAACGTGGGTACGTTCACCATCAAATTTCCCGACCCATCTGCCCGACCCACGTTTTTTGTCATCAAATGTATGAAAATTTATTTTCTACTTTTTAGTCCACAAGAAAAACGTGGTTTTTTAAAAAAGTTTTTTTTTAAGTATTTTATTTTCTCCTTTTTAGTCCGTTGCTACACATGAAAAACGTGGTTTTAAAAAAAGTTTTTTATATAGTTTATTTTCTACTTTATCTAATGACTTGATTAAGTATGACTTGACTAAGTGTTTATAAATACACGGACTAAAAATCTTGAGCGACCAGGATTCGAACCTGGGTTGTCGCGACCACAACGCGAAGTTCTAACCGCTATACGATCACGGCCAGCGCGCTCACATCGATTGGGGCCGAAGTAACTGTGTCAATAGGCCTCCAGTCTTGTCGGTATCTTTAGAAATCATGTCCTCAAGTTTATGGTCCTTGGGGCGTAATTAAATTAAGCTAATTACGGTCTCTAATTGCTAGTTTATATGATTGCATCTGAAATTGTTAGGCGAAAGTAGCCTACATGCCAAATTTCAGATCTCTAGAGCAATCAGAAGTGGGCTAATTTTCGATGTCAATTTTAACAACAAACATCCAAACAAACAAACAAACGCGAAGCTGAGTTAAGAAAAACGTGTTAATAACACAACAGTATTCACTTCAAAATTCGTTTTAACTCCAAAACTAGCAATTTGGCTTGTTTTTATCTAAAGCTGTTAGACTATCAATGGGTATTGCTGTGTCAATATATTAAACTCACCAGCAGAAATTGCAGTGTTCTGTCAAATACTAAACTCACCTGCAGAAATTGCAGTGTTCTGTGAAATACTAAACTGACCTGCAGAAATTAAGAACCATCAGGAGACAGAAATTGATGCATTACATAAATTTGTCATACCTGCCCCTACCAACTAGCGCAATGTTACAACACTAAAAATAAACAATCCTAGCTTGTACATAATCCCCATATATTGCCAGTATCAAAAGGCAAGCGGCTGTAGGAAGTGGTTGGGTGGAGGTGTGGTGGAGTGTGGTCGGCTGGGTACGGTGGAGCTACTGCTGAGGGTGGACAGAACTTGACAACCTGACACCAACCCCGTTCTCCAACCCCGCCTCTCTTCACGGGTCTATGATCCATCTTTTCATAATTCAACCCAGCGCCAATTTTTAAATTAAAGAACTGTTTACTATCAGTAATTGGCGCGTGCAGTAAGACAATAAAAATAAACAGCAGCACTAATTAACGGCAGGCAGTTTCTGCTCTACGACTTTACCTCCAGGTCAGACTGACCCTGGGGAGGTAGTCAGTTGTATATTGATCGTCTCCCTTGAACAGTTTATATAGAACAGCGTGGTTGTAATGCTGATGTTGTGGGCTCTTTGTTGTGTCATCTTCACGTGTTTCATGTACACATCTTGATGTCATCTTCACGTGTTTCATGTACACATTTTGATGTGCTTGGTGTACACATCTTGATGTGCTTGGTGTAGACATCTTGACTGTTGCTGACATCTTGATGTTACTGGAGCAAACATCTGGATGTATTTGATGTAGACATCCTGATGCACATACCGAAGACAGCTTGCTATGCGCGCTACGTTCATCGTGATGTTCTCTATGCAGACATCGTAATGTGCAAGATGTTCGCATCTTGATGTGCTCAGTATAGACATCGTAATGTGCAAGATGTTCACATCTTGATGTTCTCAGTGCTGACATCGTGATGTGTAAGATGTTTACATCTTGATGTTCTCAGTGCTGACATCGTGATGTGCAATATGTTTACATTTTGATGTTCTCAGTGCTGACATCGTGATGTGCAAGATGTTAACATCTTGATGTTCTGGTGCAGACATTTTGGGTTACATCTCAGGCAAATCTTAACTTGAGCAGTGCAGACATTTCAATGGATGTGATTCTCTTCGTCTAGTTCAGACATTTCAATGGATGTGATTCTCTTCGTCTAGTTCAGACATTTCAATGGATGTGATTCTCTTCGTCTAGTTCAGACATTTCTAATGTATGTGATTCTCTGTGTCTACTGCAGACATTCCAATGTATGTGATTCTCTGTGTCTAGTTCAGACATTCCAATGTATGTGATTCTCTGTGTCTAGTTTAGACATTCCAATGGATGTGATTCTCTGTGTCTAGTGCAGATATTCTAATAGATGTGATTATCTGTGCCTAGACATTCTAGTAGATGTGATTCTCTGTGTTTAGTGTAGTGCAGACATTCTAATGTATGTGATTCTCTGTGACTACTGCAGACATTCTAATGTATGTGATTCTCTGTGTCTAGTGCAGACTTCACATTTCGTGTGAGAGGCAGACCATCACATGTGGGTTTGGCTGCACTTGGTGTGAGTATGGTGAAGACGTCACGCAAATATTTCTCCTCCAACCAACTTTATGTTGACCGATCTCCTTTGAGAAATCACGAATCGACATATCGATCTTAGGCTGAGCAGTCTAGTTACAATACGTTCAAATAAGAAAGCAGTGTATTTCATACTGGGAATAATAGATCAATAATACATCGATTTGATCGATCGGTAAAAAGGTTTTCTACTCTTATAAAAGCAGCCGTTAAAGCGCAGATATATTTTTCAACAAGATCCAATTCAACTTTGAACCGGAAGCAATGGAGTTGGTTCAGCAAGCGACGCCATGTTTGAAGTGGAATGATTCTATTTTTAGGCTACGGTCACAAAATTCTGGATGACATACTTTGACTTGGCCGTTTATTGAAATCAAAACTATCTAAACAGCAATTATTTCTTTATGAAGCGCTGATGATATTATGAATTTAAAGCTTATTCCAAAGCAGTAACCTTATTATCCCATTCTCTGCCCCTCCCCCCCCCCCCCACACTCACATGTCGCATTCTAAAAATATGACGATATTAGATTGAACATTGTTCCCTGTCAACAGCGAATCTATGAAAGAAAACTTTTGTGAGAAACATTGTAGTGGTAAGTAGACTGTCCACAAGTGGTATGACTGACCAATGCTCTAGTCATACTTTCTTGTGGCATCGACACATAAATTCAAGGCAATCTATATTGACGTCTGTAATGGACACTGACAAAATGTTACAAGATATACCCAATCTATTCCGACCAAATGTTACAAGATGTACCTAATCTATTCTGAGAAAATATTACAAGATATACCCAATCTATACTGACAAAATGTCACAAGATGTACCCCCTTTCTTCTAAGACAGCACCCGAGTCATTAAAATCTCATCCCATTAAATTATATTTACCGTACCTTAATTTATATATGTATTAGAATGTTTTGCTGTGATATATTCTCATACGAAATGAGCACTGACTAAAGTAGGCTGCTATGTGTGTCCCCCCCCCCCCCCCCCCACAGTTAAACATTGCATCCGCTTCCTATGATTGACCCACGTAAAATATTTTATCCTTTCACACTCCGCCCCGGGAACACTTTGATCGGCCGGCCCGTGAAGCGTGGGTTAACATACATGGGGGAGGGGAGGGCCAGGGGCTAGCGTGGGGTGAGGGGGGGGGGGCTGGTATAAAAAGATTGGTTCACGACCCCCTCCCCCTACCCAGTCTGTGTTGTGTAACTCCTTTGATTGACTTAAGTAAAGTAAACTTTTTCGCAGCAATGATTTATCGGGAAAACCCGAAGATTGGACTACTCTGAGCGATGGTGTGCAAGTACTGGTGCGTTTAGCGCTGGTCAATATTGGACTTGGTAAACAAGCTAGAGGTGGGCATTGCTGGTCCGGGGGCGTGTGAAGTGTGGGCGTGGGCGTACTCCACTGAGGGCGTTGACTTGTTTATACACTGTGGCCAAGAAAGTATTTATGGAGCTCTCACTTAGGAGTGGTGCAAGTATTTTATACATCGTAGATCCCGATCAGTTTACAAGGCAACCAATAGTTGAAACTACGGACAAAAACAAAGTTATTTTTATATTTATGCGGCATGCGAAAGTAGGGAAATTTGACCGTTCCCTAATGACATCCCGCGTACTGAGGCACGATATTATATATATATATATATATATATATATATATATATATATATATATATATATATATATATATATATATATATATATATATATATATGTGTGTGTGTGTGTCCGTGTGTCTGTGCGTCTCTCTCTCTCTCTCTCTCTGTGTGTGTGTGTGTGTGTGTGTGTGTGTTTAGAACTAAGTGACCTTCTTTTGTTCCCAGTAGCTTGC